TGTCCTCAAGGGCAATCTCCTCTTCTACTTCGAGGAGCGGGAGAGCCGTGAGCCCGTGGGGCTGGTGGTCCTGGAGGGCTGCACCGTGGAGCTGTGCGAGGCCGCTGAGGAGTTCGCCTTTGCCATCCGCTTTGACGATGCCGGCGCCAAGGCTTATGTGCTGGTGGCTGACGGGCAGGCTACTATGGAGGCCTGGGTGAAGGCACTGTCGCGGGCCAGCTTCGATTACATGCGGCTGGTAGTAAAGGAGCTGGAGAAGCAGCTGGAGGAGGCCTGCAAGAGCTTGGCCGCTTGCCGCAAGTCTCCACGGAGGTCCTCCTCCTCTGGCAGGAAGAGGCATCTCTCCAACCCGGCCTTGCTGCCTCTCCAGGAGAAGCCTTCCGTCCTGGAGAATGGTTACTCCACATGGGGTAGTGGTGGTTGTATCCCCGGTGGGGCTGCCTGTCCCGACCATGATGGGGGACAAGCAAAGCCCCCACCCCTGCCTCCTCGCCGGCGCTCGGCCACTGGCAGCGCCACAGGGTCCCCAGTGCCCGGCCTCTCACCAGCCATGCTAGAGAGCCCAGTGTCACCAGACACAATCTGTTTCTCCAAGCTGCACAACTGGTATGGGCAGGAGATTGTGGCACTGAGACGGGAGTGGCAGGAGAGGCAGAAGAGGGGACACCTGTGACTGAGGGTGCGGGACGCAAGTCACCAGCCAGCTGATGCCTGTCAGCCTGTCTGAGCAAGAGCAGAGCAAGGGACTCAGTGGCTGAGTGTGCAGTGTGTGTCTGCTTTACAGAATGTGTGGGAGGGATCTGAGTCTTCCCCAAACCTCATGTTTCATTTCCATGAGGCTTTGTACAGCTGGAGTGTGTAATACCAGGGGAGCGACCTCTGAACTCTCCTCTGCTGGTGATACAAGGTGCAGAGAGGGCCCAAATCAGCACATATGCAAAGAACCTCAACCAACAGGCTTGGCCTCTTGCTGTCCTAACGGGGGTGCTTCATCGCCCACCTCTCCTTCACTGTTTTTTTGTGGTTTTGTTTCTCAATGTGGAAGTTTGCACAGGTCAGCTTTTATTATTGTCTGTGGTCCTGTGCCGAAGTCCTTCTGCTTTTGTTCGTTTTCTGCAGATAAGGCTGGACTCTTACGAAGTGCCTCCAACGGGCCACTGGCCCTGGCGTGTGCCTCCAGCCTCATGCCTCTCTCACCACAGGACATGTGTGAGCCACTGCAGCTGTGGCTGGCCCAGCAGCTGGGGGTCTTGCATTGTCTTTTTTTTTTTACTTTTCTTTACTTCTGCACTAACACTTCTTCCAGCTAAATTCTTCAGGATGTGGATATCATGGGCTTGCATTTGTCCCTTTGGGTTCTCATGCTCAGCAACAGGGCTGAAATGGAAACACAGAGCATGGCCTGAAGCAACAGCTAGGACCAGGAGCTCCCCAGGGCTTATCTGGACTCTGTCTAGTGGTTACCAAGCCTGTTACTATCTTGGGCTCAAACTTTCCCTGTTCCAAAACAGGCATGCTAAAGCCTCTTTGCCAGGTCAAGAGTAAATTTCTCAGCCTTTGTTCAGACCACAGCTCCTGCAAAGTGCCATAGAGGGCTCAGTGAGCTCGTTAGGCTGCTTGCCCAAGAGAGTGTCCAGAGCCACACCTTTGCTGGGCCTCTCTCGTTGCTGTGGCTCTGCCCAGCTCCTGGCAGCGCTGCTCAGTGAGAGGCGAGGCTTTGGAGGAGCAGGGAGGAGGAGAGAGCTGGTCTCGGGAGGAAAAGTGAAGGTGTGGGAGTGATTTACAGGTAGTAGTGACTGCGTGTTGGCAGTGTCTGGGCTTGCCTCTCTAGCATCAAGGCCATATCTCTGCCTTGTACTGAGCCACCACTTGGTCTGCCTGTGCTTCCCTCTGACTTCATCTCAGCATTGCTTGGCTGATCCCTGTAGCACACCCCATCTTCCCAGCAGGCTGGGAGGACTGCAGGGAGGAATGCCTGTCACCTCGCTGCAGAAACAGACTTGTCCATCAGTAGGTCAAAAACCTTGGCCATAAGGCAGATGGTACAAGTAGGTGGATGCCAAGTCCAGGGACAAGAACACCCTGGAGTTGGGGTTTATAAATCTCCCTTATCCTCTTGGCAAAGGATGTTTTTCAGATAAAAAAATATATGTGAAGTAGTTATGTGTTTCCTATCTAAAAATGGAAAAACCTGGTTTTATTGCCCTGTTTTTATTGCCCTATTTTATTAAGGAGCCTTGCTAGGAAAGCAGAAGGCCATTTCAGGTCATGACTGGCTGGTACCTATTTTGCTTTTGTGGAGTTAAACTCAACTTTATACTTTGCAATAGCCAGTAGAGAATGCTAGTGCAGAAATCAGATTAATTCCATTAACTTTTGGTGCCTTTGAAAATATAAATCTCTGGTAGTTTTGGATGATGAGCTTCCAACCTCCTGCCTAGTTATGGCTCAATTGTGTATTAGAGGAAATCTTAAATCAGATCTTAGCAATATGACTTCGGGCAGTGACAGTGTAACCTTCACTTACGAGTGATGCTATCTAGTCCTCTCCAGTTTGTGCCTGTACTTCTTCATACTAAGGATCTTCAGGTTTGGGAGGATTATTTTTGTTCTGTTTTTTTTTAAGTGAAAACAGTTCAGAAAAAGCAGGAGCAGGTGGCCATGGGTTAGGGCCTAGGCTCTGTCAGCAGCCCAGTTGGTTGGACATAGGGGTCAGTTCTGCCTCCCTACCTGCCACTTGAAGAGTTCAGTACTGCAGCATTCCTAGCTGTGAACCTGTCCCCTTCCCCATGCCAGGGCAGCAGCATCAGGGAATCACACTACCTTGCTGCCTCCTTGCTCTGAGCATGGGTATTCTGAGGCCGTCAAATTTGTCAAGCATTTCCCTGTGTTGTTGTTTGTTGTTTGTTTTTTTTTTCCTAAAGGTAAGACAGAGAGAAGAATATTCCCGATGTCTCAGACTTACATAAGGCAGTTTGACGGTAAAGATTTAACTTCCAAAACAAGTCAAAATGCAGTTCCTACAAGAGATCCAAGAATTGGGAACGACTTGAAAAAGAAAGTAAATTAACAAAGCCAGTTCTGTCAGAACTGGGACTGAAACAGTATTATCCATTTAAGGGCAGTTTCACTTTTAAGAAGCTGAGTTTGTTTTAATAAGCCAGGATTGTACTCATAACACTACTAAAGAGCTTATATTTAATGCTTTAATCTGTCCCATTCAAATGGCACAATTTCCACGCTACCTACCTTAGCGTTAGCACATCTCCCAGCTAAATCCTAAATCCCGCAAATGAGGCGCTGCGCTCTGCTTTCCGTCTAATCGCATTTGGAGTAATTTTGTGTTTTATTCTGCAGCACTGACAAGAAAATGGCTGAATCCTGATCCGCATTTGCGCTCAGCCCAGCTGTCCATGCCAGGGCCTTTGCTAGGTTTCCAAAGCGCCGTGTGACTTTGGATGCACTTGATCAGGGCTTCCTCACTATTCCGCTCTCATAGCAAGGTTGGCCCTTTTGTGAGTAAAAAGAGCCATAATTGGAGTCATGGCCAAATTTGTATGGGAGTACAGGTTTTTTTTAATGACCATTGCTGCTTGCTTCATTAGGCAGGAAGCATCTGGGTGCCCCACTGCCTCTTCAGAGATGGAGGCTATCAAACCAGCCCGGCAGAGAATTTGTTGTGCTAGCAGAGCCTTTGAAGCAGCCCCCAGGCTGGAGGTTGGGATTTCAGGTTCCTGAGGTTGCACATGCAGCTGGCTAATGGAGCGTCCTGTCTGTCTGCAGGCAGAGATCATTACAGGAACAGCAGAGAGTTTTCACTGCACATTGTCCCTGGCAGCAAAATAAGACTAATTGCCACGCACAGATTTTTCTCCAACCATTCAGGCTTGGACTGTTTCACCTCCTGCTTCCACTTTCCCTTATTAATTTTTAAAAATAGAGAATGTCTGGGCTGCAGAAAACAGGTTCCTTGGCATAGGGGGACCTGACTGCTAAAGCTGAATGGGTACTTTTCTTAAGGTACTGAATTTAAGATCCTTTTATAAGAGTTTTCTTTAGTGTAATAATGCAAAAGCAATGAGAGAAAAATGCTAACATTTAAAAGAAGACTGAAAGAGGAAGGGCAATTCTATCATGGCCTTTTGTAAGCTATGGTGAGAAGGGCTCCCAATCCTGCTAATATAGCTGATGAAATCCTTAATTTTTTTTCTGAGGCTGGCATTAAAGGTTCAAGCCCGTGATATATTATTTCTGCACATCTTTTTTGTTAAACTATGTTGATGTTTTCCACTGAATCCAGGTCCCAGCGGCAGGAGTAACCTGAAGGTTTTACCCGTGGCCACTGCTAGCCATTTGGTGGACAATCCTGACCGGGGTCAGACATTTTCTGTTACAGTAGCTGCTGCATTAATATAGTGGGGCCGGGAGGGGTGAGTGACCCCTCCATCTTACCTCTCTCGACTGCCTTTGCGGAGCAGCCTAAAGAACCCCCACTGAAATGCACATGGAGTTCCCGTGTCCGGGACATCTCAGCACCTCCAATCGCGTTCTGCCCGCACAATTACCCGGCAACACTATGAGCAATCCGCGGGGACACTCCCGCCCTCCCAAGGGCTTCTATTTTAGGTAGGACGGCGTGTTCTATTTTTTAGGAGGCCGTTTTGCATGCACCTTTGTTTTTTACACGCCGAACTTGTATTATACATTTCACTACATTGTTAGCGTTTGTTTTACACGCGGAACTTGTATTACGGATCTCATTTAGACTGTTTAGCGTTTTATTTTATGCCGAATAAACTGGTTTGATTTGTAGTCCGTGCGCTGCCATTGGAGCCGCGAGCCCCCTCGGGAGTTTCTGCATGGCCGGGGCATTCCGGCCTGCACCGATTCTCACCGCCCCTGGGAGCCCCATCGGGAGGGGTGGGACACTGCCCCCTTCCCGGGAGGAGGCTCCGCCCCCCGCACGCGCAGCGCCGCTCTCGCCGCCTCTCCTTAAGCCTCGCGAGATCGCGGGTGACGCCCGGGCTCGGCCGCGGCTCGGGGCAGGCGGGACGATGGCGGCGGTAGCCGGGCGGCTTCTGGCGGCAGTCGCGGCTCACTCAGGGAGGGCAGGCTGGGGCGGGCCGCGCGGCGCCTCGGCTGCTTCGCTGGTGCCCTCCCGGAGCGCCACCGTCACCCGCAGCGGCGCCATTTTGCCCAAGCCGGTTAAGGTGAGTGAGGGGCGAGCGGCTGGGGGCGGCAACGGGCGGCAGAGGTGGCCAATCGGTGGTGGCGCAGCTGTCGTGGGCGGGGCGGGGCGGTGACTGATAAGGGCCTGGGCCAATGAGGGGAGCGACTGTAGGCGGGGCGGGCACGCGGAAGCTCGGCAGCGGCAGGGTGGTGGGGTGGCCCCCTCGTCCCCCGAGCGGGGCGGCGCTGGCCCGGCCCGGCCCGTGTCCCCCCACGTTCCCCTGCGTTCCTCGAGCGAGGCGCTGCTGGCCCGGCGGTGCTCGGTGGGCAGTAAGGCGGAGATCAGCACCCGCCTGCGCACACCCTTTGCCATCGGCGACCGCTCCCCTGGCTAAGCCACGGGCGTTCCCTGCCCCGGGCTTCCCGCGGCTTCCAGCTCCCCGGTGTTGGAATGTTTATAATACCATAGTACTGTAATAAAACGCGATGCGGTGACGGGAGGTTGGCACTAGGCACGGCAAAGCGTTCCTCCCGCCGCTTCCCGGGCCTTCCGCGGGCTTGCGGAGCCGGGAGTTCGTCGGTTCAGCCGAAGTGCCACTTGCTGGTAAAGATCCACCTTTTCCAATCGACTCCTTGCAGACTCCCTTCGGCCTCCTCAGAGTGTTCAGCGTCGTGATCCCTTTCCTGTATGTTGGTACTCAGATCAGTAAGAACTTCGCAGCCTTACTTGAAGAACATGATATCTTTGTCCCAGAGGATGATGATGATGATGATTAAAGGGTATGTCATTAACTGCACCAGCAATCTAATTATTTGTGTGTCCCATTTGGCTTGGGGCAGGGAGGAGGATGTCAGACAAGGAAATACAGACAGCAGCAGCTTGAAAGGTACATTTGCAGTTAAACACAGACACGGATTTGCCTTTGGCTATGAACTTTTTTGTTCTTTTATACCAGAGTGGGCCAGACTGGTGTCTGTGAAATCTCCACACCATACATTCACTAGAAATCAGAGTGAACTGATGCAGTTTTATATCTTGTCAGTTGAATCAGAAATAAATTGTAGTCAGTGAGGGTCTGTACCACAGACAGAACAGAGGGACTTCAATGTTACTAAATTATGCATGCAAAGAAGGGCAACAGACCTGGTGAAGCAGCTGGAGCACAAGTCTTACAAGGAGCAGCTAAGGGAGCTGGGGGTGTTTAGCCTGGAGAAAAGGAGGCTCAGGGGACACCTTATTGCTCTCTACAACTACCTGAAAGGAGGTTGTAACAAGGTGGGCGTTGGTCTGTTCTCCCAAGTAACAAGCAATAGGACAAGAGGAAATGGCATTATGTTGTGCCAGGGGAGGTTTAGATTGGGTAGTAGGAAGCATTTCTTCACTGAAGGGTTTGTACAGCACTGGAAGAGGCTGCCCAGGGAAGTGGTTGTGTCACACTCCCTGGAGGTATTTAAATGATGTGTAGATGTGGCACTTGTGTCCACTGCTAAACCATGTCCCTGGCAGGGCTGGGCTAGCAATTGGACTCAATGAACTTGAAGGTCTTTTCCTACTTAAATGATTCTATGATTTTGTTCTACTTGTTTACCTTTTTAAAAGTTTTTTGCTAACTCAAAGAATGATTATTTTAAAAGAGAATCACTTATTGTCTGAAATTCTGATATAGATGAACAGTTTAAGAGAATTCCAGAACCCATCAAAACAAACTGTCTGGTGGGTCTTACAACATTGAGTAGTTGGATCATTCAGACTTAGTGGAAAGAAAGAGTGGAAATAATTCCCCTTTATCTGCACTGCGCTACACTTTCTACTATTTTATGTTATTCTGTTTGGCTTGCCCTTTTATAAAGATTTGAGTTTGGGTGTATTTGATTCTTTATAAAACAAAGAAACTGTTTTAAAGATGTCATTGCAAACAGTGTTGCTTTGTAATTGGTTTGGTGGATGTATTCTACTTGATAAGGGGGTTTTCCAGCACGCACTGTGCAGCTAAAAACAAAGACTGTACTGGCCTGTTGGAAACTCCCTTTACCTAAACTCCACTTTGTGTGGTATTGGGAGAAGTGTTTCTGAAGCTTGTTATTCTATTTGCAGCACGGTAACAGAAGAACGGAAGGGAGAAAGCCATTGACAAAGCAATGATTCCAACGTCTGTCACCTGTGTTTTGTCCTTCCTAAACGGGACGGGGGCTTTGTCCCCCTTTTGCCAGTGAGTGTCCAGTGCATGACGGAATCTGTAAATCAGGGCTGAAGGAAGAGCACTGCATCCCTGCAGCCCTTGCACATGCTCACCTCATCAAAGACTGCTTGGATGCCTTGAATTAGCAATATGGGAAACACTTAATTAAAGATCAAGAGATTGAGATGTATGACTTTGGTCTTGTTTTTTTATTCATTCATTGTGTGCCTGTGTACTAGCATTTGTCTAACCTTTCTCCTCTGTCTGTCTGTTCCAGTAAGGAGGCTCTCCTCATACTTATTTCCTCTTGTGAGTCCTCTCTGTGAGCCCTTTTCCCCAGGGGAAGCAGCAGCCCCACAACACAGCCTCATTAAAGAATGGAGTGCATATCAACAGTGGCACTGTGGTTCCACAACCTGGCAGGTGATGGAGACTGTGTCATTAATGTCATCTCACTGAAGATACAGTATTATCATCACAGAGTTAAAAGTTTTTGTACCTTTGGTGAAAGATTACAAATGGCAAACTAACTTGCTGATATGTTTTATAGCATTTAATCTCTGAACACTGAAAAAAATGTCTGAACACTGGCTCCATGTACCTGATATTTCCTAGGTAGTTTGGTACTTCCTTCCGAATGAGCCCTAATACACTTGTTGTCTTAACTGTGTATAAACTTCAAGTCCTCTTTTCATACAAGTGTTTACTATTGCATTTAAATCCTAGCATAACAGACTTTAAAAGTTTCGCCTAATGTTGCACACATTGGCACAGTGTATAGTTCAAACAGCCACACTTGCTCCCTTATCCTTTGGCACAGCTTTGGATGTTTGCTCTGTAACTCTCCAGCATAGCTATGAAAAGGGAGCCTGCAATCCGAGTAACCGCAACAGCTGTAGCTGAAGGGAGCTGTCAGGTTCTTGAGTCGCTTGGTATCTGAGTTGCCCCCTCCTTCCCCAAGCCACTTGAGAAGTGGTTGTTCCAGACCATCTGCTCTTGGGAGCCAAACATGTACCCGCTCCTGTCTTCTATGCTGCCAAATTCCTTATCGCTGCTTTATCCCATGGTCTCTCCTGGCCCCTCCTGACTCTTTCAACCCTGTCCTTAAAAACACGCCACCCCTGAAGCCCCAAGGTACACTTACATACACATCCCTGAGGAGTGCTGTGTTACAGTCCTCATCTGGGGAAGAAAGCTCCAGTATTTAGGCAGAATAAAAATAGGTTTGACTGTACTACAGTAAAGATCTGATGCTGCTCACACCTGGGGGAGCTCCAGCAGCGAGTTATCTCCTGAAAATCTGTTCTGACTGGTGACAGGACAAATTCTCCTTACCCTTCTCAAAAGGGAGTTAGTAATTCCTGATTCAATTAAGAAGGTGATGGTAGGACACCATCTCCTGCTAGGCATCATAAGTTCATACAGAGCCTTCCTATTCTAGATAACAGTACAATCCCCCATTTTTCCTGGTAATTTCATTCTACAGCAGGAAAATGGACTCTGCTCATGTCTTTAGACACAAAGGGATTTATTTGCCTATTGGATTTTATGTATTCTCTGAGGAGGTAAACAAAGACTAGTGTCCAAGTGAAAAACAGCAGGTCAACGAAATCACAGCATGAAACTGCAAGGCACTACATGAATACGAATGGGTCTCAAGCTCAAGAGTATTTCTGTGACTACACTAGCTGTTCTGAAGACCTGCTCTTTCCTCCACAGAGCTAACACGCACAAACAGGGCTGCAGGCCAAGCACAAAGCCCCACAGCTAGGTTGTGTTGTGGTTATTCAGCAGACACCCCGGGGCAGGTGATGGGACAAACGCTGCCCACTGAAAATACATACTGGCAAAACTGTGAAATGATAGCTCTTCAAACATAATCATCATTTGCACACACTCTGGATTCAGCTAGTCATTAGACTCCTAATATGTTACACAATCTCTCTGTATGTTTGTGTTTTTTTTTTTGCTATTGTACAGAACTTTATTTGTGATATAAGGCAGGAAGACACAGAGTCAATCCCTCAGGGATCGTGGCCCGCATAGAATTTGGACAGAAAGTCTTTAGGTCGCGGGGTTTCCGTCTCATGGAAATACCTCATGACGTGAGTCCTCTGCTTCCATACATGAATGGTTTCTTGAAGCTCCATTTTCCCCTGAGCACAGACAAAAGAATTTTAGACCAGTTCTCAGTTAAAAACCAAGTCTAACCTTACAGCAGCATGAAAGTTATTTGAATGCACTTAGAAAGATTTAAGTAAAAAATAGCCACATCAGCAATCCTGTACTCCTACAGACTGCATGTATCACCTACACTGTGACACAAATATACTGTGACATACAAATGACACAAACATACACAAATATGTTCTCACTTTGTGACTTGACATCTCTGCAGCATAGCTCCCCAGCCCTGTGAAACAGGCAAGGGATCTTGCCTCCTCCTTAAATCCTGCATTGTTTCTCTCATAACCAGCACCTCCCACAAAATTCTACATAACATTCCTAATTTTCAAGTACCTCTATTTAATTTGTTTGAATAGCAGCACATTACCTGTAAAACTAAGTACAGCTATTGCCAAGTGCTTAGGACCAGTATCACTGCCACAGAGATATTAAACTTCACTTCTTCATGAGTCCGCTGTATTGTACCGGTTTTGTTGGATGGCAGAACATAGTAAAATGAGACTGCCTGGAATTGTCATCAACTGTACTACTTAGGATTCTATTTCCAGATTTTTTTCATCACATCAAGACAGAGTACCTGTCTTGAAATGCATGAAATACAACAGGTAAGCATGGCAGTCCTTGGTTGGATGCTTTCTAATGCATTAAAACTGCAGACGTCACTTACTGTGGCTCTTTTAAAGATCTGCAAACCAGAAGAACCCTGAGTGACAGAAATCTATATTCGAGCCACTCGGATTTAGGTGCGTTAAGATCCTGTTCCTCTGCTTACTGAAGCAGCATGATCCCCGATCAACAGGTTTGCTGACACAGGTAAAGCAAAATGACTGCAAGACACAACCGTTCCATAGCCCAAGTTGTTTGTACCTTAATAACCAGCATGTCTATCACCCGTGGATCCCTAATGTGGGCGTTCTTCATGAACATCTCCCGCACCTTGTTACGCCCCTGTTTCACCGTGATGTCCAGCTGGTACAGGTGCACTACAAGAAACACAACACCCACTGCGGTCATCCACATCGCTTCGCGGTTTTCCCACCGGCGGGGTTCAACTCAACCCTCCAAAACGCTACCGAGTCGCTCGTTCACGCGCAGCCGGCCGGCTTCACCAATGTCATTAAGGCCGTTCGACCTTGAGCACGCGCGGCAAGTCCCGCGCGCCTCACCCACCCGTGTTGGGCACCTCGCGGTACCAGGCCCGGTACAGCTCCCTGACGCGCCGCTTCGCCTCGCTCAGGTCCCGGCTGAAGATCGGCTTCACCGCGGCCGACACCACCCCCTTGCCCGCCACCGCCATCTTGCTGCCGCCCTCGCCCTGCCACCGCCCGCGGAAACGCGCACTGCGCGGCAGCGCTCCTATTGGCCGGCTGTGCTGCCACTCCGCCCGGCCGGCCGACGACCCCCCATCGGATTGGTCGCAGGAAACGCCAATCAGCGCTGTTTGCGAGACGGGGATGACCACGCCGGGTGGGCGGGGCCGCGCCATGTCCCGCCCCCCCCTCGGGGCGGTCGGGTCCGACCCCTCAGAGCCGGGTCCTCCCTCGGGGCCGGGCTGGGGATGTGTTTTGGAATTGTGTATTTGTTGCCTTTGCCCCCCAGACGTCACATCGGCTGTTTGCTCATTCAGGTGAACCTTCTGTCAGTGCACTATTGCGTGCTAGAAAGACAGTCCTAGTCTAGCTATACCCACGTTTTTATCCAAATACACGAGTGCTGGGATCCTCACTGAGGTTAAGTTCCCGGTAACCTTCTCTTTAAAGACACTCGTGTGTGCTGGTCACTATAAACCCGAAACCGTTCATTTCAGTGTCATTGAACCGACCAGAAAAATAACACTGAAAGGATCTTTAAAGCAGCAGTTGCGGTGCTAGGGGTAAGGAGAGAAATGTCAAGTGAGCATCTGAGGCTGGGGCACAGCAGGACCCAGGCAACCACAAAGAGGAGAGGCGAGAAACAACTTTTATTCTTTCAGGGTTTTTTTGTTTTGTTTTTTTTTTTTTTTTAGATTAAAAGCATGAAGTACAAATCTTAGCATGGAGTACAAATGTTAACAACTGCATTAATAAGTATTTGCATAATTCAGTAGCTTTCATAACTTCCAAAATTACCATTAGAAAGATAGATATGAACGTGTCCACACATGTGCACTCAGTTTCAGGTATTTGGGTTTTTTTAGTGGTGGTTATACATAGAAACTCCTTTATGCTATGGTCCTTTCAGCCATGTGGTTAAAAGGCAGCTACTGTTAATCTAAATATCAACATATCTTAACACCTTGCAAAACAATTTGTCAGGAATATTGCAGGAAGAAAGAGAAAGGTAGTTCTGAAGTCTATGGCCATATAGTTTCAAACAGTATAACTCCATCCCTTTGTGAGCTCCAAACCTCCCCAAGAGCTGATTTTCAGCACTGCTGAAAAAAACCCAAAACAGTTATCAGGACCTAATTAGAGGAAATGATAAATCTAAACAGCAGAATTTCTCTTGAAATGCATTTATAGAAATTTCTCCACTTCACAAATGATCTGCTTCTGTGGCTGACACACCATATGGATTATTTATGTATTCCTAGGTATTTATTCCTACTGGAGGAATAACGAGACATAAGGGTTGTCAGGATTAAAACTTACTTTCCTTGGGGCTATAAATGAAAACAATGCAATATTTGTGCAATAGAGAGGAGTATGTAATAAACAGGAAGGAACAAAGGAGACATGTATATGTTGGATCGTAAAATTTTTCAGGAGCTCTGCTCTGAAACTGTATTTAAACGTCACCTTGTTGGAGCTGAAGCTCTCACCCTGCCCATCAGCAGCACCAGCCAAATCAGCTGACCATCCCTTGTTTTTTCAGGAACCAAGCCAGAGCTGGGCTCCCCTGGGCACCAGGCAGAGGCACACACTGCTACACTGCAGGAGAGGCAGAGCATGGCTGGATGGGCAGTGGGGCTAACACTAGTACCTTACAGGTTTTTCCTAGTCGTTTTTTGCTTCCAGAAACAGC